GATGATATGTTAATTGCAATATTTATGATTATCATATCAGTCTATATATTTGTCTAATTAAATAAACATCTAATGTCCGTATTTTATCACCACTATACAAGGAGATAACATATTGGATGACATCCAGGTGTGCATATTTATCTTTGTCAACCTGTTTATTCTAATTAACCATCAGGTAGGTAGCAATTGGTTCTATTTACCTATTCATAAATTCATTCTATAAGTAAATCTATCTGGATACATTCGTTCATCCATATGCTTTTTTTAGCAATATCATTATTTAGATAATTAGCAATAATATCATTATTTAGATAATTAGCAATAATATCATTATTTAGATAGCATTCTATCATCAATCATCTTCTGTTCTTCCTCTTTTTTTTTATTTGTCATTGATGCATGCATGCATGCGTGCTTGCCTGCTGCATATTTTGTATGCATGCATGCAATTCATTTTTTTTTTGTTCAACATTTGCCAGAATTGCAGATGTGACAAAATGCCCGATAATGATATTTTTAAAATGAAAGCAAAACTTTTTTAATTCCATTACAATACATTGGATTACTGTAATTGTCATTTTCTTTTATTTAACATATATAAAAAGTGATTTTTCCCAATAATTGGTAAGTTTCATTGACATGTATTGTAAAAAAAAAAAAAAATGTCAAATTAACTTGTGACATTTCCGCATATAATTCATCCAGAATGTAAATTGAATTTTAAAATTTATCGATAAAAAGCATTTTTGATTTTTCTTTGTAATTTTTTGCACAACAGTTCATCTCACATGCGCATCTCATCAATAAGCTAAATTAATTTGCGCTCCTGCAAAATGCTATATCAGATGATATTTCATGCTTAACCGAAAATCGACAATTTGACATTTCCATCTATAATTTTATCATCTGTCAGATATTCCATTTGTAATTTCCATGTATCATTTCATTCTACGATACCTGTATCATTCTCTGATGTCACCATTTCATGCAATACACTTTAGCAATTGACAGTACTATCTTGTGACAGGCATTGATAAATATGATAGAATGTGATAATGGCGCAAATATCACCGATAATTGTAATTACTCTAACCTCAAAAGAATTACATCCGAATATCCTTATATCAGTTTTGGTAAATATGAGAAATGATGAAAAAACAATGAACGTGACCTTTTTTAAATTTTGATTAGACGTGACCCTTTTTAAATTTTGATTAGACGTGACTTTTTCTTCTTTTGGTTTGTTGTTGACATAAAACTAGGCGGAAAAGTATTTATCATATTCATTAAAAGGAATGGATGGAAATGAGAAGGAAACATTTTACATTTTGAGATCATGTAGGATAGTTGTCGTATATTGAATTGTTCCATGACATCACTCTATTCATAATTCATTTCAGGAATTTTGCTAAAAAATGTTTAATTAATTAGAAATGATACTTTGCTAAAATGCTTTAATAAATTAGCTTAACAGACATTCTCATAAATTAGCTTAACTTTTGAATAAATAAATATGCTATAGTTCAATTTATAAAAGAAATAATTTAGCTTGGCTTTTTCTTTCTTTTTTCTTTTTTTTTTTTAACAAATAAATCAACTTACTATCAAATAAATTACCTTAGCTTACTTGCAAATGTATAAATTAATTCTTGGCTTATAATAAGCTTGATTTCGACAATTTATCATGACTCATAAATGTTACACATATTCAACCGGGCTGATCATAATTATTTGGAATTGGTTTAATTAATGAATTTATTAGTGATTTGAAATTTTGAAATCATATCAAATATTTAATTAATTTACATACATGGTAGAAATATTGCTTGCATTTGTATTATGCATATAAAGGGTAGTTTTTTTTTTTTTTTTAATAAATTTTAATTAAGATCAAAGAAAAATACCGGTAGAAATGGATGTCCTGCTCGGATGAGAATGCCTTCCATTTGTGGAATAACGATTAGTATGAAATGTTTTGGTCCTATAACCTGCAAAAATAATCCATTTTTTTTTTTTAAATTTTTATTCACTTCAATTGATCTTAAATAATTAATTTCCATAAAAATTAAAGTTATCACTTGAACGCTTTTAGTTTTTTTTCTTTTTTTTTTTTTTGTAACTCCAAATTTTTAAACAAATAATTTTACTTAATTAAAATTAAGAATTCACCAAAAGAATCGAAAGGACGATTTTGCATTCGATCATATCCATCATTTTCCAAAGCATTCAATTTCGTTTTTATCCCATATCCCGTTCCTTGTATTGTATCAAGAGATCGTTTTTGCATTCCGAATCCTTCACCTTCTAATTGATCAAGAACTCGTTTTTTTAACCCAAATCCTTCACCTTCCAATGAATCAAGAGCTCGCTTTTCCATTCCAAATCCTGCACCTTCTAATGCATCCAATGCTCGTTTTCTCATCCCGAATCCTCACCCTTCAATGCATCAAGAGCTCGCTTACTGAATCCAAATCCCGCACCTTCTAATGCATCGAGAGCTCGCTTTCTTAACCCAAATCCTGCACCTTCTAATGCATCAAGTGCTCGTTTCTTCATCCCAAATCCCTCACCCTCTAATGCATCGAGAGCTCGCTTTCTTAACCCAAATCCTGCACCTTCT